GTTCAGGAGGAGAGCCCAAGCGCTTGCAGTGACAGATAAAAGTATTGGGAAATGAGACAAGTCAGGACTGCCAGGGAGTTCTTACTCAAGCCCCTTCCCCTAGCAGGCTGCTGATCAAAGGTGATACAGCTTACTGCTGAGACCCTCTGGCACACCCATGAGCAAAGGGCAAGGCTCTCAAGGGCTCAGTAACGTGGTAAGATGCACTGCATGCTTAGATGCCCCACAGGCTTTCAAATACACAGAGGGACAGAGGTGCCCAAACAATACTGGCAATGGTTTCCTTAAAATAGATCTGAGGATTCATTCATTTGTAGCTCTGCAAGGAGGCTCTCAGACAGCCCTAAATCACCCCCAACCACACCTCCCGGACAACTATGCCCTCACATCAAAATGAACGTAATAGTCTAGACCTCCACTGACTCAGGTGCCAGCAGCCAAGATAAGAATGGAGAGGGTGTTAAGCGGAGTGTGACATAATCTGCTGCAATTAGAAAAATGGAATAAAAGAAGCAAGATCGGAGTCGAGAAGACTTCTGTAATAACCCACAAAGACTATTGTGACATTAACTAGGGCAGTAGAAATAGGGATGGAAAGAAGGCAAGGACTCTGAGGAAGCTCTGGGAGGAAGACTCAACAGGATTTGGCAAGTAATTGGTATGACTAGAGGACGGAATCAAGGATGGTTCTCAGGTTTCCGACAGAGCCACTGAGCAGACGGTGCCAGTCGTTATCTGAGGGAATGCTGGGGGTCTAGGGTTGAGAGAAAGATAACCCCTGAGCGTTAAGGGGCCTATGGACATCTAGGTGTGGACAGAGAACAGGGAGCTGGACAGGAAGGCTCGGAGTTCAGATGGCGGATGGAGAGTGTCTTTTCTTCAGTGGGATCTTGGCTTTCATGTCGGTTTCCATTTCCCAGTTGCAGAAAAAGATTAGAAGACAGCAGCACACAGGGGACAGTTGAAGCTATGGCAAAAGATGAGATCATTCTGGTGAGGATGAGCAAGCAGAATACAAAGAAGACAGCTAGGATGGAGACCAAAGAAATGCCAATATTTAACAAACACAAAATTGAACAAAAAAAGAGAGAATCATCTCTAAGACGCTGTGAAGGGAAAGCTAGAGGAAAAGAAGACAGAGAAAAGTAAAGATAAACAGCATTTCAAGAAGGATATGTGGTCAACTCTGTTGAATGATGCCAAGAAGTCTCAGCCTTTCTTCCATATCCTACACCCCCCCCCACACACACACAGGATAGTCACACCACAGTTGTGTCCCAGTATGTGGTGACATCTCTATGGGACTTCACTCCATAGAGCTCAATAGTCTTGGCCACTTGGCTGCAGTCCTCAGGACACCCTAAGCAGTCTCCACTGAGTGCATGTCCCCCAAGTAAAACTGGATGATCTAAGCAAGTATCTTTTGACCTCCAGACTTCCTAAAACCAAGTGTTCCAGGTCCCCATCTGCACAGCACCAACAGAAGGGAGTAATATGCACACTTCATGAGGAAGGCAGCCCAGCATATACATATTCAATCTCCCATGGAAGGAAACCACCATTCAGAACTGAGGCTGAGCTAGGAGAAGGTCCTCACAACAGACCCTGAGCAGGCACAGACCCTGCCTCATCAGAGCAGAGTCTGACCGTCCTCATCCTCTCCAGGGGTCCTTTTCCCTGGCTGCACAGAGGGCCAGGCCTTCCCTCACGTCAGTTCTTCCTACCCCGCTCCACATCCACTCCTACCCCGATCTTTCTGTCTTCCTGACCCAGCCCTCTCCTCAGACCCACAGGCCACTGGAAAAGACCCTGATCTAGCTCCTTAGCCATTCTGTGCTGCTCAGTTGGTGAACCCAGATCTTCAAGCCGCAGACTAAAATCTGAGTTTCTCAAGGGTGGCTGGCATCTGTGCAGCTGTCACTCCTCACTTTGCGCCAACCCTACCCTTCCACCGTGCCAGAAATGGAACCCCTTTACAGAAACATTCCTGCCTGGGGGAGAGGAGAGGGGAGAAAACTGATGAGAGAACACAAAACTCCATGAGGAGCGTCAAGAAATACCAGGTAAGTCAAAGCAAAGGCAGGTCAGGTAGGCGAGGCAAGCTGACCAAGAGCCAATTCCAGAACAAGTGTTGTAGCTTAAACATGTTTAGAAAGAAAATTAAATCCCCATTTACTAAATCAAAATCCATCTAAGCAGGATCTGTGACTGTGGCATCAAAGCCCACGTAAACCTGGAGTAGCAACTCATCCAGTTTTGACAAAAGCTGGACACAAAACAATTTTGTCAGGATGGGAGCAGGTTTCTTTTCTCCAGCAGGATTTCCGCTGCCACTTCAGTTCTCATTTCTCGGTGCTTCACTAATCAGGCCCTTTCCCACGAAAGTGATGTGAAGCTGGTCGGGAGAGAGGGAAGACAGCCACAAGGAGCCTCGGCTCCAGGAAACTGGAGGGGGCAAGGAAAATACTTGCTGAATTCCTTAGACTTAGCTAACTCTGAAAGTGGATGTCGACATAAAAAGGAAGGCACCCACTAACAAGTTGTGGGTGTCAGTGTGACACCACCCTTGTCAGGCTCGTCATCGGCCTTTACCGGGCGCACGAGAAGGCGAGGGCTCTGACAAGAGCCTCCCGACGCGCAGCTCCGGGAACGCCGCTAAGCTGTGCGCTGTCACGCAGCACCACTTAGGTTTCCTCTCTGGCTGTTTTTATTTTGTTACACATTTAATTAAGAGCCTTCCCAGCAGTTATGCAGAGCCCTGCTTCTGAAAGGCAGCCACGGAGCTCCCCTCCCCCCAGTCCCTGCCACCTGACGTCCGCTTCCTCCTGCGTGCTCTATCAGAGCCTTGCTGGCTTTCCCAATCCAAACCCAAACTGACACCCACAGTCTGCCCAGTCCTTGGGTTATTTTTGGAACCTCTTTGGTGCTGGAATTCAATTCTGTACAGCTATGCGTCTCTACCAATTTGAGCCTCAGTTTTTAATTTCGTTTTGCCTTTTTCTGCTATAAAACGGATACCACCTCCTACCAGAGAAGACAGGAGGACCAAATGACATATGGAATGTGCTCATTTAAATTCTAGTTTCCTTTCATACATGCTTGAATTCAACAACCCAATGCCCCCTTTTGATTCCACACTGATTCCATCATTTCTTGTGAAGATATAAAACGGCCTCCTGAGTCACCAAAATCTGCCAGTGCCCACCATGCCGACAGCTGAATTGGTGCTGCCAGCCAGAATGGGCTGGGCTCCAAGCTTAGGAGGACCAGCCCCGGAGTCCCCAACCTCATGCCCAGGGAAATTTTCAATGTGCACATACAGGATGGGGCAACAGTAGGTTTACAGCTGTTCCTATGAAAAATAATACAATCATTAGTTAGTAATAATACAAGGATAAACTGTGTTTCATGTACTTACAACTATGAGCCTGCTTTTCCCCCACCCTGTGTGTATACGTTCATGCCAGTCACAAAAGAGTCACAGTTAACACAGATCCTGAAATGTGTTTGTGATGTGAGCACACCAAAGACAGAAAACCACCAGAAGAGTGGGAGTCCTGGGAGGCTCTCTGGAGAAGCTAGGCCTCTGGGCTGGACCTCAGGAGCCTGTGGGTGTCGGCCTGTATGCTGCCCGACCCTGAACAGCTTCTCCTGTTTGACAGTTCCACCTAAGTCCTTTCTCTGTCTCCAGTGCTCAGAGCTGCCCTGGATACCATAAACAATAACAGCCTTCCTCCTGCTCACTTCCTCCATGGGACCCTCTTCCGATTCATATCAACCCAACCTACATCATCTCCCTGACAAAGGAGTGTCATCTGGAGCTCTGGGAGCTGCGTGTGCAGACCTGGAGGTGTGCAGTAAGTGTGTGCACAGGACCTAAGGGATATGGGAGATGAGGTGTGTAGGTGTTTATGTGACCTGGGCTTGTTCCTCCTCCTGTCTTACCTAGAGGGTTGGTGTCCAGTTGCAGGCCTGACACCCATGCGGCCGGGTGCATAACTATGCTTCAATGCCCAGCATCCAAAAGGCATAAAAAAGACCTTGATGAGAAGATAATGCCTGACTGGGCAGGCGATATCACACCAGAACCGCTACTCCCAACTCTCCACTGACACCCCATCCCACGCTCAAAAATGCAGGTGTGCATGCGCGTACACACACACACTGACTGCTTGCTGCCGCCTTCAGTCACAAAGAACACAGGGTTATCGATTCTATCAATACTCAGCAAACAACGCCCCCACCACCTCCACCCCACTTTAGTTCCCTGGGGGCTGCCTGAAGCCAGGTATCCATAAGATAGACAGGAGGCAAAAGTGTCAGCCTAGCAGAGTTTTGTCTTCCAGGATCAGGAGACAAAGGAGAGAAAGCACTGGGGACAAAGCAAAAGAGAGGAAGCTGGTGACGTAGGCAACTTCCTGGAAGCAGCCCTGTCTCATCCCACCACTGGGCTCTCAGTCGTGTCATCAGGGCCTTGTATCCCAGATAAGAGGACGGTACAATGTAATGGTTAAGAGAAAGGACCCTGGAGCCAGGTTGCCTGGGTTTGAATCCTGGCTCTGTATGTTCTCGGGCAAGTTACTTAACCTCTTTGTACCCTAATCTTCTCATCTATAAAAGCAAAAATAATAAGAGTACCTATGGTTATAAAATACACTTAGACTAATAAACACTATACATCTGGTTCAGCAGTAAAGACCTCTTTTAACTCCTTCCTTCCAGGGCACTGACGGGTAGCCCGGCACTGAAGGGCTCTCCTAAGCAGTGAGACCTGGCAATGGCAGCAAGGCCCGACAACAGCAGTCCCAGTAGATCTAGCCCTCCCTGCTCCACAGGCGGAAAGCAGGGCTCCCAGCCCTCTCCTTATCCTGGCAGTCCCCGAAATCCAGGGACTCCCTGACCTAGCTGCCCTGTGGGTTTAGGCATTTAAGTCTGTGAAAGGCAAGAACTGGTCCACAGATTCCAAGCCCTACTGGCGAAGTAGCCCTTCTCATACTCACATGACTTTTAAGTCCCAGTCTCCACAGGTGACAAAAATTGACTTGACGTTTGGATCTAAGAGGCCTTCCTTCGCCATCCACTCATCGACCCTCTGAAAAGTACACAACAAGAACAGATGAGATTTCCCTTTTTTTTTCCCTGAGTCTGTGAAGAGCCACAACAGTGAAACGCAGATAAGCTGCTTGTAATCAGAGCAGGAGAAAATTGTAATCTCATCCAGCCATGGCTCTGCTCTGGGCTCTTGCCTTTGGCTCAGAACTATGAAGTCACTTGCAGGACAATCCCTGCAAGAAGAGCCCACAAGCCCAAGTGTTGCAGGGGAGGGGGCCCCTCCACGCCCTGTTCCTGGCAGCCTGCCCCAGACAGGATAAGGACAGATCCCGGTAAATCAGTCCAAATAGCTCTGGTCCTCAAAGGCACAGTCTAGCATAGACATAGGTTATGCTGGGCTTGAAACCAGGCTGGTACCCAAGCAGGGCTCCAACCCACAGGTCCATTCATTCACTTATTCATTTTACCCTCCCACCAAATGTTTATTAACCAAACTTATGAATTTGGTTATTCCCCAAATGAAAGTAAAATTAATTTCCACCATGAGTCTGGCAGAAGAAGCCCTTCGCTGGGCAGGAGCAAAGCTCATAATTAGCCCCAGACTTTATATTTCTCCTCTCTTGGTTGAGGATTAAAATTCAACGGATTCTTTTGAAGGCTGAGCTCAAATCCTAGGTAGGGAGAGAAACTGCTCCTAAACACAGTGTAAGTCTATTTCTCCCTTTGTTCCTTTGATAGGTTTTATTATTTGCACTCACACTGCAAGTACAAATACTAAAATCAGTCTATAATGACAGAATTATCATAAAAAATTCATGAAGCATAGCCTGCTTTCCAGACGATCCCAGGCATGGGGCAGGAGGGCAGCAGATCACACCCCGGCCCGCTCACACGGGAGGGCTGTTTTTAAAGGCTGTACAACATGGTAGTTAGAAACGCAGGACCGAAAGTCAGACACATCTGGGTTTGGACCTTGGCTCTTCAATATCCTGGTTGTGTCACTGATGGGAAGTCATTTAAAAGTCATTTAACTCCTCGAACTTCAGCTTCCTTCATCTATAAAAGGAGGTAGGATGACTAACTTTACAGGTTGTTTTGAGAATTAAATGTAAATGTAAAACAGTACTTAAGTTCCTACCACAAAATAGACAGTAGGCGAGAAGGGGAGAGAAGCAGATCTCATAATACAATAATAATAGATGCAGCACTAAAGAAGTAACCAGAATGCTATAGGATCAGAAGGAGGAAGTGGCTAGCTCTGCTATTTTCAGGGAAAGGAGTCAGAAAGGCTTCATAAAGAGGGTAATTGAATTAGGGGCTTGGTGGTTTGCTTGACAGGGTAGAACACAGGAAAGGAGATCACAGGCAGAGGCACAGGCCCAACCATTTTGTACCTGACAAGCAGTTATGTGTTTAATGTCTGCCTTCCTCACAGATTGTAAGCACCATGAAGGCAGGGACTCCTATCTGTCTTATTCCCTGTGTCGCTCTCTAACCCAGCATAGGGCCTTCTCGGTGGTTATTCTTGGACCGACTGGAATACAGGTAAGGTATAACGTGACCACACTCCACTGTGTACAGAAGGAGGAACAGGAATTGAAGCTGGACACTATGTTAGGCCAGACTGTGAAGGGCCTTGCGTGCCCGCAGGTAATGAAGAGTACACGGAAATCCTGAAGTGAAATTACTTCTGGCAAGTGTAGGTTGGCTCCCTGTACATCTCAGAGATCCTGGAAGTCTGGCTTGTGTTGATGCAGTCCTTGAGTAGGGCCAAGAATCCTATCTAGTTCCATGGCTACAGCAGTCTAATCTCCCAGAACATCAGAGACATCAGAGCTACGCCCCAGGGCCATATTACATAGACCCTCCTCATCATCGGTATACCAGAGAATCCTCCTTAGACCAAGGATCCCCCCACCCCTAAATTCTAGACCCTCCAGTGTAGAATGGTTTGTGTCCCCAGCCACTTTGGCCCAACCCTTTGCGGAGACAGACAGAAACACACACATACACACAGCCTTTCCCCCAAGTCACATGACGAAAATAAGGCAGGCCCTGGCTGGTATGGCTCAGTCGGTTGGGTGTCATCCTGCAAAGCAAAAGTTCAGTTCTGGCCAGGGCATCAGCCTGGGTTACAGGTTTGGTCCCCGACAGGGACAGAAGGCAGCTAAGCAATGTTTCTCTGTCATATCAATGTTTCTCTCCCTCTCTTTCTTTCCCGTTTCCTCTCTATAAAAGTAAATAAAATCTTTAGAAAAGAAAAGAAAGTAGACTTTACACAAAAAGCAGTAAGGCAAACCTGGAGCACCCTAAGTCACCTACTGGCTCCCCACTGCCCCAACTCCTGCACAGTAGTCCTGGAAAAGACAGCAGGATAGGACAGAAAACTGTTGGGAAGCAATGCCACGCACGACTGGGCTTTCACCATGAAAAGCACTTAATATTCACTGGGGTCCTTGGAAGCTTGGGGCCTAGGCCATTCACTCATGCAGCAGATATTTAGTGAGCACTTTCTACTATGAGCCTGTAACAGAGGTGATACCACATTAGTAATCAGGCCTGTCCTCTTCCTTCCCTCCTACTTGAATGGATAAAGGGTTGGAGGAACCACTAAGATAACCTCAGTCTTCCAAGTCAGCCCCAACCCTCCCAATCATTCCCACCCACCGCTGCTGAGGGTCTAGAGGAGCCCAGCCTGAGCCTACTCAGAACAAATGAGTCAGGTGGATAGATGGATGGGTGGATTATGGATGGATAAACAGATGAGTAGGTGGGGGTCGGGGATGAATGTGGATGGCTATGTGACTGGATGGATGAACAGGTTTTCAAGAGCCTAGAAAGTCTACCCATTGACCCTGTTTTGGGATGAGGGAATGACCACCATTCACTCCTGTATCTTGTCTCTCCCTGCTGGTTCTAATGGCTTCAGACTGGGCAAGGGAGGTGGGAGAGGATGGTCAGGACAAATGAGCTAAATGAAAGAAGAAAAAAATTTTTTTAAAGAACAAATGAGTCAGGCACACACCTAGCTAGCCACCTGATCAGGATCTTGGTTAGCACAAAAAGTTAGCTCTTTAGCTCTATAATCAACTAATAAGACAAAGCAGAGCCTGGTTGGGTCTCCTTATCTTGCAAGACTGCCTATGAAAGGTTGATGCCAGAAATCTTCCCATTCCCCACAAAGTATGCTGGCGTAGCAGAAAGAGCTTCCTGGCTGAGACTCAATCTTCTGAGCACTCCTTTCCTGGGCTGGCCTGGGGTCAGCAAGAGGATGGCTCCTGAAGACGACATCTCCCCCTCAGCTGGCACCACTGAGGGGAAAACCTCATAAGCCCTCCAGTCCAGGTTTTGTACTAGTGTGGGAGGGGCATCTTCCTCCCAGGAGCCCAGAGACATCCCAGCAGTAAGCTGCCTCCCTCAGGAGCCAGGCCCTATCTGGGGATGCCAACTGTGACAGAGAGACAGGTCCCTTCTTTCTCCTTGAGTGTGGCCCTTTGAGGAGCAGCAGTCCATGCTGGGGAGGCCTCAGTTGTAAGAGTGAATCTTCTGTCAAAAAAGAGGGTCAGTGAGGTTGGGAGACAGACATCTCTGAGCTCATCTTATCTTCTCCCAGTTTATTGCAGGCACCTAACGCTGCCCCTTCCCAGAGCTTGACTGGGCACAGAGTCTGACCGGGCACAGAGCCTAGGCTCACACACTCTCGGGGACAGGAAGCAACCGTACCACTGGGAGAGCTGACACCCGTCTCTCCACCCTGACCCCGGCTCCATCCTGAGGAGCCCCAGGAAATTCAGCCCCAAGTCATCCTGAGGAGCTGCAGGAAATTCAGTCTGCATTCCTATGGGACAGGCTGACTTGGCTGAATAAACAGCTCTTCCTCCCTCTCCCGGCCACCACCCTCTTCCCCCTTGGCTAACTACCTCCAAAGCAGATGTGCCCTGCTCTTCCCCAGGTACTCTGCTTTATCCTGTGCTCTGACAGGGGCTGAGCATTAGGCGTACTGGCCTTAGAGATAAATAAAGCACCTAAGGAGATAAGGAGATCCCTAGGCTTTTTCTCTTCTCCCCGCCCCCTAGAGAGGAGTGGTCCCAAGACCTCCCTAAAAACCCCCAACAAAGGGGGCTGGGAGACAAGCAGAGCCAGTGCTCTGCCCTTCCTCGTTCCCTTAGGCTGGAGCACCAGAAGCTGCGTCTTAACCTTTTCCAGCTCCCCGAGGAGAACATCCTAGAAGTGTGGTCTCTGCCAAGGGTTCTAAAGCCTTTAATTTGATTTCCCTCACACAGGCGATTGTTGTAATTATTCTGATTAGGAATCATTACCCAGTACAGCCTCTGCACCCGACAGGCACAATGCGTCCAGCGGCAAGCTGCAGTGGGGCCGGCGGGCCCAGCCGCACCTCCTGGAGGAGCTGACAGCAAACAAAAGCCATCAATAGGGAGTACTGGGTGAGTTAATGAAGTGCTCACATGCCACAAGAAGCCAACACTGAAGCTAAACAAAAACACCTCCAGTCCCGGGGGCCGGTCCCCCAGTGCCACAGCTCCACTCCCCGACTTCCCGACCTGCCCAGCGCAGGAGGCCCAGAACCGGCCAGCACAGGACCAGGACGGGTGGGGGCCCTCCACCAGCCTCGTGGCAGCACTCGGACATCTTGTCAGTAACCCTGACAGGAACAGCTGGAGATGACAGATCAATGGTTCAATACTCTCAACAGCATGTCACTGATGTGACAGCAAATGTTATTCTAATCAAGCCATAATCATAGTCAAATTACACAGCTACATTCTCAGGAGGGGAGGGAGAGAAAGGCAGCAGGAAGGGGTCAGAGGTTAGGAATTAAAGGTCACTCAACCTACCTCCAGCACTTGCTGCAGGCTTGGCTGACCATCCACCATGGCTTGAATAATCCCGGTGAGCTGAAAGGAAAGATAAAGAGCCAATGGATGGAAAACTCGAAGTTGGGCTGAATGAAGTCTTTCTTTTCTGTTTCTCTCCTTCTATTGTAAAGAGCTCTGGCCGGCACTGCTTTAGGTTGAGAGCCTGACAGGAGCCTTGGGAGTAAAGTCCCAGGACATGCTCTAAACGTCCTAACAACACGCCACCCTGCAACGGGGACATGCAGCTACGTGCTGGTCAGGGTACACCTCATACCTGTTTCAGTTTTCATTTGCAAAAGTAAAAACAAAAACAAGATTTTACATGTCTTCTGTGTTCAACAGGCTCCATAATGCCCCAGAAATTAAAATCTCAAGGAAATTCCCCTCCGAGCTTCACAGAGGCTCCCGTCGGACTTAGGGAAAAGCCACGCAGGACAGGCACGCTGGGCTGCCGGTCCACCCCTTCTAGGGGCCTCAGTGCCCAGCAGCACCCCCTCTAACACCAGGGAAGGGCCAGGGGCGTCCCACAGGCATCCCCCCTTCACCCTGCATACCTGGGCCCTCAATACCAACTAGCCAATCAGGAAACAGCACCTTTAACTGATGGGGAAACTCGGGCAAAAAAAGCCTACTATACAAACCTGGTCTAAAGAATTGCTGACCCACAGGCCTACGCTTAACCCATCAGGCTTAGGTTGAAACAAGCTTGCTGCTTTGATTCGTTTAGAAGTGAAAATATCCCTTAAGCACAGTCTACAACAGACTGCCTCCAGGATCTGAGGCAGGGGGTCCTGTCCACAGAGCCAGACTCAGCTGGAAACCACCATGCCCATCGTGCCCATGGCCGCTCCCAGAGAGAGGGGCACTGAAGTCTTGCGTGGGAACTTCTATTTTTTTTTTAAGTGTTGGGGGGACAGATTAAACTCCAATTAAACTATAATTACATTTAATGAATACCAAATACCCAACTCACAGAAACCGCCGGCACTAAGAGGGAAGGTTATTTTCTCATAGTGACTTACATGGAATGGTAATACACACCTTTTAGGGAAGAAATTTTCATTTTAAGAACGCTGAGTTCCTCTAGGTGGGTTTCTGTAGTTCATCAAGTCATTATTAGGTGGTATTTTAAGGAAGTGTAAGGACACAGCCACTCTATTTTATATTCCAGAAACTGTTTTTATATTAATCTGTATTTTAATTGGGTAACAGCTGCTGCCTACAGACTTCCCATGGTCTAAAAGGAAAATAAATTAGAAAGATTAACTACACTGTTGTTTCACAAGGCTTTAACCCACAGCATGCCCACCCGGCTGGCACCTTCACACCCTTTCCTTGCTCGGGAGACCAAAGAACTGCCCAGCAGAGGGAGGGCCTGAGCCAAAGAGAAGAAGGATGGTCTACTGAGGGCCAGAGAGGGGGTGGTGGGGGATGAGCCCCGGGTCAGCAGCTTTAATCTCGGAGTGCTAAGACTCCTTTTATTTAGCCAACAACTATTCATGGAGAGCCGCAATGTGCTGGGTCCCATTATAGGAACTAGGGAGCCAGCAGTGAAGAAAAACATGAAAACCTCCATTGAATCTGTGTTCCTCTGGGCAGCCCTCTCCTATGCCCAGCCCTGCTAGCACCCAGAGCCTTTACCCCTTTCAGAGCCCCACACTGAGCAGGCGGCTGCCCTGTGTTTTGTCTCAGGTATACGGGGGTCAGAGCCGTGTTACCAACTCCGGCTCCCAAATCCAGATGATCGACTATTGCCCATGTACCCACCACTGCCCTTTCTGCCCCAGCTTCTCTCCTGCTTAGTTCTTCCAAAGCCAAGCCACATCCCCAAGCTTGGAGCTGGGACTTTGGGCCAGGACTATCCTGGAAAAGAGGGCTCACATGGCCATCTTACTTCTTGGAAAGTTCTTGGGTCTGCATGCCCATCTCATATCTGGTATGAGTTCCTGGGGCAAGGGTACAATACAGCTACTCGTTTTCTGGGCTCCCACCAAGGGTCACTCTGATTAGCTGAACACTGATGGGCTTCCAGACACAAAGGAAACCAATAGCACCCTTGCCAAGAACACTGCCTCCTTGGAGATGGAAATTTGTTCAGCATCTCTGTATACCAGAAGCACCTGCTCTGGGTCCTAGGAAAATCACTGCCTTGGGAGAGGATATCACTCTACCAAAAGGGAAAACCAGGGGTGCTGCTCTGCAGGAGCTCTCACTACGGCCTAGGCCTACCTCTTCCCACACTGGGGTGGGGGCTGGGGCCCCAGAATCCTGAGCTTTCTCCAACTCCCCTTCAGTGGCCAGTAATCTTAGAATCACCAGCCCAAGAGGAACCTAGTAAGTTCAGCTCCTTCCCTCTCCATGCTTCCCATACCACTGCGGTCTAGCAAAACAGGGCTTACAGCTGACTTCCTAAAGGACTTGAACTCAACCCCTAGAGACACAGGGGCTTGAACTCTTGGTTCAACTAGAGGCGGCTTTCCAGGGGGAGGCCGCATCCCCCCCGTATCAATTCCTCCAAGGATGGACTACTATCTTATCAGCTCTGACAAGGCACTGGATGAAGATGGGGTGAAATTAAGGAAGTTAGTCCCTATACCTGACACTGACAATCAGTAAGACACCTACCTGTAAGACTTACACCATAAGCTATGAGAGAGAAGAAAATTTAATAAAATACTGGGAAGTTCTACCTTGGGTATAACTTAAATCTTTCATGTTACAGTTTAAACTCATTCACACTTGGGTTAATATATATTTGTAAAAAGCTTTCACATCCTCACAATGAAAGGTACTAGAGCAAAGCCAAGTATTATTAAGCTGAGAACCAGGGCTCACAGGCTAAACAGAGCTCAGAGACCTTAACCACTTAAAGCAGGAGAGGTGAGAGGAAGAATTAATGCTGCTCTGTGGTTCCTTTCACTGAGGGATTACAGATTAACTCCCGCTTCCCCAGACTCGGAAACTGCAAGGCAGGGGCTTTTGACCCTGACTGATAACACGGCTGGCTACTGAGATCCCCTACCCACACAAGGGCTTTATCCAGGAATGAGCTGGCTTCATCATAAACACTAGCAACTACAGGAAGCAGCCCAGGATACTTGGTGCCAATAGCATGTCAGCATCCAGCACTTTCTCCTTTCACAGTTTATCTCTGACACAATCGTATTCTGACACCAAGACAGTTTGTTGATTACATAAGCGCTTGTCTCTGGCGTGCAATCTGATAATCAGACCCACTCCTCCTGCTCAGACAAAGAGACCAATAAATCTCACCCTTTATAAGTGCAGGTGCAAGAGAAAACCCTTTACTGGCATTTAGCAAAATGGGTATTTTTCTAGTTTTTTTCATGACAATGACAAAAAAGACTGCCCATGGTCAGGAACTGTGTGGCAGTCCAGCTGCTGGAGACCGAGATCTGCTGAGTTGGAGCAGATTCTAAAGATAGGAAAGAAAGGGTGTAGGAAGGAACGAAACACCTCCCATCCTATCTCTCTCAGGACCACGTCCCCGGGCCGACTGTCAGCTGAAACTAAGAAAGGACTTCAAGAGGGCCAGTGCCATGTTCATGACACAGAACAGGAAGAGTGTCTACATGCGAGCTACAAACTTACCCGAAGCAGGATCCCTCTTTCTGCTGCCAGCCCTGAGCCAATCTCTCTCCCCTTCACACAAGTATGTGCTTGTGTGTATTCATGTGTCATGTGCACACACACACACACACACACACACACACACACAGGAACACCAGAGTTCTTAAGAACTTCTTGTGCCCGAAAGGAAATTCTACTAGAGGAGCTGCTTAGGCCCAGCCAGGAGCTCTGAGGTCATTTCCCTAGCTGGCAAGGCAGCCGCTGCCAGGTCGCGTGAGGTTCGAGAACAGCAGCTCTCACCCTGCATCCGTCTCCCTTTGCACAGCAGCTCCACAAGGTGTGGAGACAGGGCAACGTCTGCATGATCCGAGGTTTTCCGAAGAAGACTTTACTTGCTCAAAAGAGCAAATCAGCAGTAGTTACTCTAGCACAGGCCAGAGTAACTGTGGTTGAATAATTCCTTGACAAGATTCATTCATTTAAGGAACACATATTAAGTGTTTGCTTGGTATCAGGCCTTAATGATGGAAAACAGGTGGATCAGATCTAGTTTCTGCCCTCAAGGAACTCACAGTTCAATGGAGAGATGGATAAACAATTACAGTATAATGTATATGGTCAATGTTATTTTGGGGTGAGTACAGCCCCGCCTTCACAGAGGAGGTGACCCTCAGCAGAGTCCTAGGGGACAAGCAGGGGCTGGGGGAAAAGAGTGCTAGCCTCACCCAGGTGAACGACCATCACGTGCACAGGTGGACTGTAAGAAGGTGACCTTTAGATGAGGGAAGTGAGGGGAAGAGGAAGCAGGGAGATACGAGGCTGGACAAAAAGGCAGGGACCAGGTCGGGGAGCGTTTTGAGCTATGCAAGGCCGAGGCAGACTGTGGACTCAGTGCCTGCAGCACAGCCACACCTTCACTATCATAACAAGGATTTTCCAACACCGCCATGCCTACTGCCACCCAAATTTTATATGTATGTCCTTGAGTGAAACTTTCTAGAAAAAAGCAACATAGCTTTCATCATAGTCCCACAATCCTCCCCCTCTCCTAAAAAAGGAAACAAGCAGCAGCAGCCCTACTCTAAAAAATATCCCTTTTCCCAACACTACTGGGCAACCCCTCCTGCCCGGGCCGAGCCCCAGCAGCATTCTGTTCCATCCCTAAGCAGGCAGCCACCTCGACGGATCCGGGCCTCCTTGTCTATGCCAAGCAGCCTAGCTAGAGCTGAGTCCCTTGAGGGGGACTTACACACAGAGAAGAGGAAGAGACGGACAGAGAACACTCTGCTTTCAGACCACTGGAGGGCTCAGGTAACTAACTGGCTGGTTCATGGAAAGTTTTCCCTTCCCTTCCCATCAAGAAAGGGATTTCCATCATCATTAAAATGTTGCTTTTTCAAAAGGGGCAAAAAAGACAGATTAGCACCCCCTGGTGGTATAGGTAATCCCCAGGGAAAGGATGAAAAAACAGGAGACCCCAAAAGAAGCAAAGACCTCAATATTGTTAGCTAGAACAATGATAGACTTGAGAGACTGGACGCCTTGGCAGAGAGATGCCTGCAACAGAAGACCCACCCGAGTCAGGCGGCAAGCACTGGCATCAAGCCCAGGAATGACCTTCGGGGCCTCATATCTGGGCTAAGGCCTCCGCAGAGCTCACTGAGCCCATCCACCAGCGGCAGGCAGGCCCTTCCTCCACACCAAGGAGATTGTTATTTTGAAATTACTCAAGAACTGCTTTCCTCCTGTTTCATTCATATGTTTTAAAAAAGTAGGTCTGTAAATGAAGGCACTAAGTCTCTAAGGTACCCCAGCGCCAAATTCTGAAAGAATTCTAGAAACACTCATGTTCTCCTATCACCTCTAATACCACATATTCTTGACCATTCTTGGGATTTCACCATAGCCTGTGCCCAGAGAGTGTAACATAACACAGCCCAGGGGAAAGGGCTGCAGAAGGCTCTCCGGACAGTCGTGAGAGTCAGCACTCCAGTGGGCCTCCTCCCTGCCAGTGGCTCATGTGAGCCTCCAGCAAACATCAAAATCTCCGTTAGTCCCAGCTCCAGTCTGTAAAATGGAGCCAATACTAATCTGGTTACAAGGTGGCCAAGCACAGCACCAGACTAGGACAAGGAAAAGGGCACTGCAGTTCAGGCCAGGCTGTGCTCATACCCAGCTTGGATTGTTCCTCTCTCCTTGGTGATAGTGTGTGCTTCCCACAAACTCAGCCAAGGTTTCACATAGGGCTACTTTCCTTGAGGACAGAGAAACATCACTGGAAAGCTAAGAAAGCTGAACCTCTCCTTCTCAGAAGCTAAAATCTTCACCTGTTGCCAAGGGGCCTGAAGGGAAATGAAACTCAGGAGAAGCTAAGCTCCAGAAGTACCATCCTGCTCCTAGACCCCAAATGCCAGGTCCCCGGGAAGGGCAGGGATGCAAGGAAGGGAAATGCTGGGGAAGCTGGGACAGATTGTGCCACTGCTTTCCCTGGGTCTCCTATGACCAGAATGACCCAAGTGGAGTGGCAGACTGTAGAGCCAAATGCGGAGTCCAATACGTACCCACTTTAACTGCTGATAAGAACTAACTTTCACTAATCGGCCTGTATACCAATGATCCAAAAGCTCCTGCCCCAATAGCCCTTGCTGCCCAGTTCCAGGGCCCTTACCTCTGTGCAGAAGGGAGTAAGCTGTGGATGGATTACAGGCTGGACATACATGTGAAAGGTAGACTCAATCTCCATGGTCCGGCCATTTAGCTTCAGGATGGGGAACTCAATGATCTCCTGGAATAGCAAAGACAAAGACGAGAAAAAAATAAAATTTTTATTGTTTATTTTAGTTTTTTTAAAATCAACCATTTCAAATAGTAACTCTGAGAGTCAGGAATGAAGGAGTGTTTTGAACTCATTACTTCCTGCCAGGCCAAACCCAGACTCAGTGGGATGGTGCTAACTCAGTCATAGCCCCAACCCGCCCACTGTGAACATTCTCACAGGTTCCAGGGACGATGCACAGGCCCCACCCCATGGCCTAGAAAGGAGAAGTAAGACAGTAGTACACCCTGCCCCAGTTTCCCCAAGTGCCTCTCTACCAGAGGCTGGCTCAATCGAGCCACTAAACGTCGGCCCCTCCTTCCCCAGCCCTGGGAGGGTCCTGGGTCTCCAGCCATACAGACAACTGGCCATCAGACCAGGGCACAGCTTCCTGGACATGAAGTTTAAACACAGCTGAGTTTCTTCATTAGTTTTTACCCCCACCAAAAAAAAGATACATAATAAATAAAGCCAAAGGGGATACTAAAGAGGAGAAAACTGAGCAAGAGTAATAGGAGCTACTGCCTCCCACCTTTCTTTCAGGCAGTAAGCTGTCCCCGCTACCACCAGCTCCCCCACCCCAAATCGCTTAACCAGCCCTTCCCAGTCCACTGGAACGTAATGGAAGAGAAGGAGGAGGAGTGACAATTTGTTTGGTGTCTCTAAGATTAATTTGTCTCCGTTATTTAATAGAGATGCACAGCACCAAGGTCCTGGTGTGCAAACAGGCTTGCAGAAGGCTGGCTGTGCAGCAAGCCTCACACGTCGCTCCCGGGAAGGGAGGGACGCACGGCGGGTGGGGAGGGGGGGCTGGCACAGGAGGAGAGGGCAGGGGAGAGCACACTTGCACCAGAGAGAAGAGGGGAAACGAGCAGAGAGAATAAAAAAAATTATTGCTTTTTAATATTCAAAAACAGTTTGCGAAATTTAATCAAAGCAGAGGAAAAGCTAACATTTTTACTACTTTGACATTTTTATTAGCGCTTTCATAAATTTTTAAAACATGAATGGAATTAGTTTACAACACACACACAAAAAAACTGCCTGAAAACATCTGGAAGAGACAAATAGGAAATAATAAAAAAAATAAATAAAAGCAAAATCCTCCGAGTAAAATTAGCATGTGGAAAAGGCCTCCACTGCAGAGTGAGAGAGAGAAAGAGAAAAGGGGGGCTCTGCCCAATCAACGGTCCCAGCAGTCAGTTCCAGCCACAGCCCTCTCCCAGGGCCCCCATTCTGGAGAGGACCTTTCTAGTACCACTAAAATCAAGGCAAACCAGTTCTCCCCAGGGACAGCCGGGAGAAGCAACAGGGAAGCTGTTCTGCACCTGACAACATGTAAGAAACAGGCACGTGGAAAGGCGGGAGAAAGGGCCAACGTCCTGTTACCCAGGGGCAGCTAGGCACCCTTTCTCCTACACACACCCACCATCAAACTTATTGTTAAAGCATCTATTTTTATCTGGCAAATTACAGCAGGACCGAAGACCAAACCAAGACGATCAGATTTCATGATGGAGCAATTCAAAGGTTCTGGTTGCCTGGTCTCCTTGGGGTGATCCCCAAAGATGGGGAAGCTGCCAGGAGCCCCCCAAAACAGGAAGGGCAGAGAGGCTGCAAGGCTGGAGCAGAGGGGGAACGGAGAAGAGGCCCAGGCTGCTGTTTAGACTGGGTGATGCTTCTCCTCTCAACACGTTCCTCAATTCCCTGGGCCTCTCACTGGCCATACACCACAAAACCGGCCAAGTGGAAGAGAGTGTTGTGCTGAAAACAAAATTAAGGTACACACACACAAAACGCATATTGGTCCCCCTTAAAATCAGATCGCCAAGATCTCCAAGAGCTAACTCTGAGGTGGGGCTCACCTGAGTCAGGCTTATCTGACTCCTTAATTTCGGATGTGCCCTTCCTCTCCCATTAAGCAAAAACAAACAAACAAACAACAACAACAACAAAACTTCCCAACAGAAAGAGCTCCAGAGCCTGGTGAGTTTGGCTGCCCTGGTGTCTCAGGAAACAAATACAGCCAGCTCCTCACTAACAATGTTAGCTGGGCCCACAATGAAATTTAACCTGTGACACAACTGTACTTTTCATTTAAACTTTCATTTCGAGAGAAGCAGTGTTTGGAGACCTGCAGTTTGTCCTGCTAATAAAGACAAGTGTTGGGACCTTTAAGGATGCCATTCATCTCTGGCTTTTATTAAATTCAATTTTCTTAAGCCCATGATACATTATGAAATTAGGAGTTGACATTCCTCTGGAAACAAAAATATCTATCAAACACAAATAGAAAAAAAACCTCTATTACCAAGAATTTATGACTTAAAGTTGATCTCTTTCCACTTTTTTGCAAGCACATGGTTTGTTTTAGATATCCGAAATGTTATTATGGATCTAGAATTTCATTAGTATTTATTATAAAATAGTAAGCGCTTCAGCCCCTGCTCTGACTGGCACCAAGTTAGCATCCCCAATAGATTCTCTGGAAACGGCCTGCGGGTTTCCACACTGCAGCTCCATCTTCGAACCTCCCTGCTGCTGGCTTCTCATCCCTGGGGAAATGCAGCCAACCTAAGCTCTCATATTCACCATCGCCCTCCCAGAGAGGAGGAACAGCCAAGCCTCAGGTCCATGAGAAACGAGGGGTAACTCGGAGAGGGCACCCAGAGGTATAGGTTGAGCACATTAATTTCAAGAGCTTATGAAGATGTGGTTAAGAGCCAGCTTCTAGGGGCAGTTGCTTCAATAATGAAACTTATTCTCACTCTTTTTCCTTTTCCCTCCTCCAATTTCATCATTCCCTTAGAATGATGAAAGAAGTTTTGGGTTTTGGGGTTTTTTTTTTAAGGAATAGTTCAGTGTATGCCTTTAAACAGGTAGCACCATAAAGGAAAGAACCAGTTTGTATTTACCAGCCTTCTTTGCTTCCTCTGTTAATACTTTCACAGTTCCTTACACTTGTATGTCATCTGCATTCAATTAAACCACCGGTGCCCTACTGTGTGCAGGGCAGCATACAGGTGCTGGGGTGGGATTTAGGGTTATGATGTGGACTCGCTGTGGGGGGTGCCCGCAGACTGCTGACCAGTAACGATACGTGAGCGAATACTGAACAACACACTATGATAAATATCTTAGTGGAGGAGCATCCCAAGTGTTAGGCTTTTCAGTTTACAGTGTGCTTTGAAATATTTTTATTTTACCCTTATTAATCCTGGAAGATAGGTCCTATCATCATTATCACCGTCATCTTGAGGTCATGGACCAATACTACTTACCAGGCAGGGGCTGCTAGGGGTGCACAGATTAATACAAGGAGATGTGGCTCCTCTGTATGAGGTGCCTAGAGTCTCAGCAAGGGGTAGAGAAAGGCTGGACCCAACATCCACAGGGTCATGCGGAAAATGGAATCGTTCCATTCCTTCCATCTATTGTTTACTATGTGTCAGATGCTCTGCTACATACAATGATCTCACTGACTCCTCCTAACAACTCATGAGGTGAGAACCATTATTATCCCATTTTACAAATACACTAAGGCCTAAAAAGAAGCTGTCATTTGCACAAGGTTATACTGCTAGTAAGGAATGGAGCTGGAACTCCAAATGGGGAAAATGAGACTTTAAAAAAGTAGGATTAGCAGCTCTGAAAATCTGAAGAGTCAAGAAAAATCTGATTCTTTTAGTCTGAAAGGCTGTCTTTGAGGAGCTCAGTCTATCCCTTAGGAAGAGCAACCACTTCAAGTTACCAGAGCAATAAATGTGAACTCTCCAGGCAGAAAGTCCTAGAGGATTGCTTTGGAGCCGACACCACTATGGGTGCAGGGACGCAGATGGCGCTGTGCTCTCAGCTCCGGAGGGCAGGAACCAGGAGCCTCCGGTTTGCATCTCCAGCACCTGGTTCCATTCTGGCAGACTTCACTCTCTCCACTTTTGGTGAGTAATCATATGAAAAGGATGATAAATGGCAAGACAGAAGCCAAGCACAGGCTCCAACAGATAACACTCTGCTCTGGCAGAGCTCTCCACGGGACCAGAGAGGTGAAGTGATCTACCTAAGCTGGCAAAGACAGTAAACTAGAATTCAAATCCAGACATGGAACACTCCAAAGCCCTTTCTACCAGATCCCCTGCTTTACATCTTTAAGTGGTTTCTCATCCTTCCTCAACAGTGCCCCAGTTTTCTGTTTGCACAGACCAAGGGTTTCCTGGAACAAAGGACTTTTAGGGCTACAAGTGGGACAGTTGGTCACCCTACACCATTCTCAAGTTGTATGCAGCGCTAGGTTGTCGAAGAGTAGAGCACCAAAAACCCAAAAGGCTGACGATGGATGGGAATCGGCCACAACTTGAAACTAAGGTCGAAGCCTTAGAAGTTGGGTTTTTCAAAGTATCTCTGTTTCTAAACTAACCGCATCTGCTGTCTCCCTCAATAAAATGCCAGCTGCGAATCTTTCTTTTTAAATGGAGGAAAGACAGAAAGATAAAAAGGAAGCATCAGGTAAATATTCTTTTACATTTTTAAATGAGCAGAGGTGTAAGTTGGAACAAGGGCTTCTAAATGTAGCCGCTTTCTAATTGCTCAACTAGGAGGGCCAGAGATTTTCCTGACAAACTGAGGACAAAGCTGCAGCAGCATTTCAAATGAAATTTCACACCCGCAGTCAGTAGATTACAAGAAATAAATGTACAGGTTGTTTACAAGGTATTCCAACTCCCTCCAACTGAAGTATTTACAGTGATAAGATTATATCTGAAGATAGAACAACAAAAGGATTTTAAGCAGGAAGGACTTAGTTTAGCCTTGAGATTCTCTGACAATGGGACCAAGGGTTTAATAAATAGTGTACCAAACTACAGACTTTTCCCCAAAGCACAAATTCCCCTTTGCCTAAGCGGATGGCTCTATGGTCCTGTCTGAAACAAGGGAATGAGCGGATTTTTCATGGCTTTCCCCTCCCAACCTAG